GAAACTATTTTGCCTACCCAGGTGGATCACTTTATTGCTTACTGCTCCCCTCCACTTCAGCCAATTCTTCATGTTGGTACCACAGTGCAGGCCCTGCCTCCTCTCTGGTATTCATGCCCTCCTCTCCCAGTCACCTTGGTGTATTTTCTCACTTTTACCCACGCCCCATCAAGAACAGTTTCTTCTCCACACTGGTCCTCACTTAAAGTCTTTAAGGTTCTGTTTAAGTCCTACCTCTTATATCAACCTTTTCTGGGCCTTCAAACAATCTTAAGATGTATCTTGTACAGGTACAAATTACCCATGATGAATACTCTCATAATGCATATGATAAATATACCACTAAATTTAATGAAATTTTAAAAACTCCTATTTCTTCTCTTGTGTTTACTACCACCCAGGATTCTGTCCCCAGTACCATTCCTGACACCAAAAAATAAAAAGACAATATTATCAATAAATAGATTATTGATCAGGAAAATAAACTGTTGATACCAAAGGGTGCAGAAGCCCAGAGTTCTGGAGTGTGGTCTCCACAGCAGGGACAAGAGAACAAGGAGCGGGGTTTTGCTGTCAGTGCTCCAGCTCTCCCACTGCAGTCGATGCTGATGAATTATTAATAGTTAACTAAATGTCCCAGAGCCCAGGAGGAGGCTCCCCACTGCCATTCCATTGCTCTTAGGGCAAAGGAGGTGAGCCAATCTCAGCACCCAGGAGGAGGTCCCTGCTGCCATTCCACCTCTCCTAGGGCAGAGGAGGTCAGCCAATCACAGTGCCCAGGAGGAGGCTCCCCACCACCATTCCACTACTCCTAAGGCACAGGAGGTGAGCCGTGTGGATGCCAGTGGTACCCGCTGCACCATGGAAATGAGAAAGCACATAAGCAAGCCTCAAAAACAGACTTCCAGATCACCTACAGAAACCCCAAAGGGAAACGAGATGAAACAGTCTGATATTCAACCACAGGGACTCCCTGAACTGGCAACAAAAGAGAATCTGGAAAAAAGGAAATCAGAAATAATGTCTCAGACAATAGCAAAGATTGTGCCCATAGTCCAAGACATGATTAATAAATCTAGAGAGAACACAGATAGAAAATAGAGGATCTGAGGAACATGATGGAATCCCAACATTGGAAACAAATGGAATTCATAAAAAAGATGCAAACAGACTTCCATGAGATTAAAAACTCCATTGAAAGTCTATGCAGAAGAATGAACTGATGTGAGGACAGAGTTTCTGATATAGAAGATAAGATTGCAATTAGTGACCAGGGAAAGAAAAATTTCTTTAAAATTTTAAGGGACCATGAGAAAGCAATCAAGCAGCTGCTAGATGATGCAAAGAAGAATAACATAAGATGGATTGGAGTCAATGAAGAAACAGGAGAGTGTGCAGATGACATAAAAAAAAGTTCACAGAAGTGATGGCAGAAAACTTCCCAAGCAGAGGAAAAGAATTTGACATACAGATAAGTGAGGCATATAGGACTCCAAATAGCCTTGATCAAAAAAACTACACATAGGCATATAATAGTTAAGATTC